ACCATCAATCCTAGAAGAATCGCGATGTCATTTACTTCCACCAGGATCCTAGCCACGTCAACTTTCTTCCACTTCTATTTCTATCATCACACCTCAGGTTCTTAGCACAAAAATCACCAATAACTTTAAAAGTAAAAGAACACCACGCATGCAAAGGAATACCAACGTCCCCAATCCACATTGCTCTCCTTCACCCCGCCTGAAGCAAACCTGCTACTAGGAACCCCAGCTCAGSCTCAAATTGAGCTCCATGCTCTTCTCTTCTAAAATCAGGACCCACTCCGCATCTTCTCTAGAATGGAACATAAATAACAACAGGCCTTCGTTCAACTTTCAAACACCCAAAACTCTCTCTTCCCCCATTCAAACCATGCCCAAGATTGCACCTCTTCTTCCAACTCCAACCCAACGAACCTTCCTACTAGACTTGCATCAAGGACCTTCAATCTCTCACCCAAACCTTCTATCCGAGTCACCACATCCTACCTCACTCCATTTCGTTCCACTTTTTTTCAATGTTTAGGAAACCGGACCGAACCAACTGGTTTGGTCTTACCCCAATAATTGCTTTTGCTAAAAAACCAGTGAAAACCGATTGACCAGTCAATTTAACCGAAAAATCGATGAATYAGTCTTGGTTTCATGAAACTACCCGGACCTTTAACCAATTGAACTTTTAAAATGTGGTTAACAAGATTTGAACCCATGACCTCTTATTTTCATATATTGTTTAATTACCATTAGTCCACCTCTTAACTTGTGTTAATTAATGACTCTTTATTGTACATATTACTTTAAAAATTAAGGAACTTGTCATCCATAACACCATATTGAAGTATATTAAAAGTTGTAAAATATATTATATAGTATTTATATAACCTGTAAGATATATGCCATGTCATCACAGTTCAACCCCAGTTGAACCTTTGACCAGTGAACCTCTCACTTCTCCGGTTCTATGCCCAGTCCAGTTCTCTGAACATTGTTTTTTTATTCTCTCCTTTCTACGACTCGACTACCCCTCTTCCATTTCTTTCATCGGCATCATTTGAATGGTCCACATCTACAACTTCTTAGAACTTTTTCTGATGTTGATTTATTGTCATGCGTTAAATTTCATGTGCATGGCCTCCCAATAGAAAGTTTAACTTTTGAAAGACTAGGCCATAACCAGATTGTAGGTCACTTGAATCTTCTATGTGACCTTTCGGTTGCAGCTGTCATCAAGCAAGACTAGATAGCTTGCAACAAACTAAGTTGTTTAGAGGAGCTGTTAGAGAGTAAAGAAAAACATAATTATATAACTCATATATGACCTGAAGACAACTAATAGAAAAGAAACTAGTCAATTTAATATCGTAGAATCTTCAGGAATAATCAAAGAAATATCATCACCTTTTTCTTTGGTCCCATAGGATATAAGAACACCACATAGGTGGAACTGTTGGAGGTATTACAAGGGATGATGCTAACAAAAATGCTTGATTCATGTAAAGTCGGCCTATTTTCCAAATGTTGACCCCTCTGCTTCTATTCTCACCCAAAATCAGACCATCTCTATCAACAAAATGGCTCAAAGGAATCTCAGAGAAAGAAAGGGACTTATCTTTTTGAAAATTGTTTTTTTTATGAATGATCTTTTTTTTTTGAAAATTGTTCAACTACTAAAATGGATCTAGGAGCATCCTTCACCACTTTCCTCCTATAGACTCTCTTGATGAACCAACACCGCAAAGTCCAACTTTAAGCATAGAAAAACATTTGATACATGAACCAGATTCTGCTTTTCCTTCCCCTTACATCATTTCGAATCTCTAAAGCTCTTCACCAACCCACCTGAGCTGTCTACAAATGAAGATTGACTTTCCATCATTATTCAGGTCAGAAGCAACCCTAAGAGCATCAACTCTTTTACATCCCAAATCACCCCCTAATTCAGATAACAACTTCACTAAACTCCACATTGGGCTCGCCAAATCATCACTCTCTTTAATACCAGCCAAACCTCACCATAAATCCTGTTCAAAAACCATACCATTAGAGACAAGAACTTGCAAATGAGCACCGGATCTACTGCTATCCAACCCAATAACAAGATCTAGCACAATGACCTTCTCTCTGTGATCAACCACAAAAAACAAGCTATCCAAACATCCTTGGCTGTTGACTTGAGACTCAACCTTGACCTTTGGTGCTCGTCTCATCAGACAGAGAGTTGCTGGCACAAATATGGCTGAGCTGCAGCTTGCAARGCAAAATAGCAGGCACAACACACACCAAAGATGCATCCATGCCTGCCACAAACCTTCTCTCAATATCCACCACATCCTCCTTTCTTAAATGAGAATTCCACCTTAAGTCTCACAAACCAACTTCAGTGCCTGATCATCACCTCCAACACTTCCTTCAACCACCTCTACTTCCTTAAAGCTTCTACAGCCAGCGCCCTCTGAAGACTCCTCTGTTTTTTTTTTTTCTTTTCCCAAACTTGTACAATTTCTTACCTTCTTTCCTACCCCACCCCCACCCCCTTTTTCCAGAGGTCTTTCCCTTCTTAGGTTCTTCCTTTGAGTCACTCAATCAGCTGAAGGTAGTAACAACCCAGGCCAACTTGTCTCTCTTCCAATCTGCCTTCCTCTTAATCCACCATCTTCTGGAAAGCCACTTCAAAGATAAGATTCAACACCCCGGTAGTAGTCTCTTTTTATTTTTTTCTTTTCCTTTTCCGTATGGAGTGGGACCCACTTCCTTTATATGACTTCTTTGAATTACTTCTACTCAAAGAAGCCTCTTCACCTTTTAACAAATCATTTGCCACATGTCTGCCATGGAGCCCAAGATTCAGTTTTTTCTTATCAGCAAACCCAACATTCAGTTGCTCTTCAAATGAAATTGCCTCATTACTTTCACTTCAGCAAGCTCATCATCTTCAGCCTTCAAACACCTCTTCAACTTCCTTATTCATCTGCCTTCATATGACCATTGATCAATTCTGCCCCAAGAAGGACTGACCTTTTCCTTCTAACAACACCCCAAGTCAAACTCTTATCCTGCAAAGACAAGAGACACAGGGCTTGGAGCCTCACTGGGAAATTCCATCTCAATTAATTATCTTGCCATACCAAGTTTTTCCCAAGTATGATTTCTATTGTCATATTTCAGAAACCTTCCTAACCGATTTATTGCCTATGCCTATGGATTAAAATGCCAGCATGTTCCATGCATGTAAAGGAATTACCACAATGCACACACACATACCTCTCCTGTATCTACTGTATTTAATCTAGCCTGTAAGAGAAAACCTTCTATTCAGACAATTCTGCAGAATGCAGATCTGTTCACTGTCACATCACCCTCTAAGGCCTTATCTGCAGCTGCTTTGTCAGGAAAAGAGAAACAGCCCTCCCTACAACCTTCTCACATCCAGCATCTGCCTCTCTCCCCATGCTTACTCAACCCATCTGGAAAATTCAAAGATCCCAGGATTAGAACCCACGAATCCCCCTACCAAGCAAGCTTGCAGAAGATCTGGCCTATCATCAATCTTTCCAAGACTTGACACTACCAACACTGATTTTGTATCCATCTCTCAATTTTTTCTCAGGAGAATTTTCATCATCCTTCCCACATATTGCAAGAATTGATTCTATAGAAGAAACCATCCAGCAAGAAGTAAAAGAAAGCCCAAGGAATCAACCATCATATTAGGGAGGTTAGAACCTTGGATCCAAAATAAACAGCTTGTTGAGAGGATCTTAGGGTTGGCTAACTATTCCATTGGTTGTGCCATTAGGAATTGGTTAGGGGAGAGTAAGCTGGATTAGGGGTCCACCATCACATAATAGCACTTTTTAGACTCATTGCCTTTTCTCATCCCCATTCTTTTTAGTGAATAAATATTCTAAAATTCAGATTCCTTAAGCTTACCCATAAATGAATAAATTATATTCAATTAGTTACCAATGTAATAATAAGAATAACAACAACAAACAATAGTAATAGTAGTAGTAGTAGTGGTGGTAGTAATAACAGCAGTGGCAGTAGCAATAATAGAGGATGAGGAACATTGATGCTAATTGTCATTTTGCATGTGAAAATGTTGCCTGCAACAATTTTTCCTAAGAATCAATTGGACATATCATGTTTAAAGCTTCTATTGTGCAACTTGTTTATATGTGATATCCATACAGAACAAGGAAAATATAGAAAACTAATGGATTTTTATTGTTAGTATAGAGACAATATCCTGTTTAGGACTGTTTCATACCATGCACTGTAGCATCTTAACATTGCTGTGCTTATGTCCACCTTGTCAATAAAAGTATAGTCTGGACAGAGAACCATCCTTTTTTATGGAAAGATGGCTACACTTCAATCATCCACTTTTTTATCAGTACACCTTAATCATTCACTTCAATTAATATTTCATGCTTCTCACTTGTATTCCTCTTGATTATACCGGTTCAATAGTTGAAAGATTCAACAATTGCAGAAAGAAGCAATAGTTTCTGCTTATAAGTTCGGAAAACCAGTAACAAATAGCTTGCATGAGATGAAAACAAAATATCATCACAATAGAGTGCAGAATGTGTAAAATAAGAGAACTGGCAGGATGTAAAACAATAACCAAAATAACCTTTTGATCCTAAATCCACGAGAAGTGTAAATCCTCAAACACGCAATCAGAATTCAACAAGGAGAATTGAACACAACTGGCAGAATTCCATCATGTCAAAGAGTTAGATTTCACATAGAACTATTATCACGTATAATCATTATACACTTCCAAAAGTTAACATCGCTCGTTGCAAAGATATGTAAGACTAAGAATCAAGCAATGATACAGGATTAAAGCAGTTGAAAAGAACCCACAAAGTTCTTTAAGACTTTCGCCTGGAAATCCAGAAGAAGTAACGCAACAATAGTTCAGACAGAAAGGATTCTCAGTCCAAGTATTAAACTTCATCAAGTAAAGAAAGAAATTCAAAATTCGAGCTTACCACATGCTCCCCCGATACTTTAAGGTATAAGGACCGCTCTCTAACGACCGATCGAAATGGCTATGAACCTTGTGCTTCCCCTTCCCGCTCTGATCAATAAGCGTCAGCTCAAACAGCGCCCGAACATCCGTCCCCTCACTTGCGAGCGCAATAAAGACCGAAACATAAGCCGAATTATCCTCAGGATTCTTCCCATCGGGATAGAAATATATCGCCCATTGATACCCTCCAACAGTGAAATTATCGCTCGCAATGTGTTTTCCAATCCCCATCCCCTTCGCCAACGAGTAACCTTGGATCACGAATTTGTGCGAGCCATTAACGGTCTCAGTCACAGACCGTGAACTTGTCGGAGAAATCAAAATGCCCTTCTCCGGCGTCGCGCTTTCCGGCATCTTCCAGCCCCGGAATCCGTAAATTTCATAAAAAGATCTCGGTGCGTCGCGAGATAAACCCTAGGCCGATAAAAGCAACTTTCCAAAATGCGCAAATCAAGGTTACACGATGACGATGGCTTCCCCCGTCAAAGAATTCTCGGAAATACCAGCAGGGAGACGTCGTCGAATACTTGATGAATTCGAACCAATTCGAATTATTTCTGGATAGAAAGGAGATCGTTCGAATGAAAATTAGGGTTTCTCTCCTCCAAATCCCCCCCTCTCCTCCTCTGTGGGTGCCGAGACGAGGAAAGAAAAGGTTTAATCAGACGAAAGAGAAAAAGTGAGACTCGTTACGGGAAAAAGAGCGGAAAAACCACAATTAGGAAAGCTTTGAGTTGAGAGAGATATTTGTATTGCAAATGGTTACCGTAATGCGCTGTCTACATTCTTTTGTACGTTAAGCCGTTAACACCGAAACAAGTGTTTTAATTTCTGAATTTACTAAAACACCCCTTGGTTTTATGGAATTACTAAAATCAAACCTACTCTATAGTTTTTATTTTATTAAAACATTCATATAGTTTTTTAGAGAGTGAGGGTTCAGCCCAGGGTCAGAATTCTTAGGCCCAGAGTACAGTTGGGGTAGGTGCCCACTCGGAATTGATGCCAATTCATACGTGGGCATCGGTGTATAAAATGGGGGTATTTGACGTTTCGAATTTTTATAGATTATAGATCCATAGTCGAATTCAAAAATCTGCAATGAGCCTACCTATACTTTTCCATTCTTTTGGTAAATAAAACACATGTATAGTTTGCAACCAATTTATTTAATCAACCTTAGAAAATAATAGCATTGACCTTAACATCCCTTCAAACAATTTAATCTAAGAAAATGTCATTCTTGTCCCTAATAACACGAGGGCAACAACTTTATTCAACAAATTATGTTGTCGATTGAAGAAGGAAGGCTTCCATTATTGACAAAGAACCTCATATACCATTGTTCTCTCTTCTTCATCCTTTTGAAGCTAAACATTTTTTGATAGATCTGAAAATCAAAACTTGTTTCTTTCTAAAATCTTGATATGAAGTTTTAGGATACTTTTGGAATAAAAAAAAAAAGCATGGGTTCATGCCCTTAAATATTTTCAACTCTACTTATATGGTTATATTACCATTTTTACACAAAAGTACAAAGGGTTCTTAACAGAAAGTCAATTGAGTAAACTAGTTGCAAACTATAGGGACGTTTTAGTAAAATTTAAACTATATGGTAGATTTTAGGGTCATTTACTGTTGGTTTCAGGTTTTTGGAACTAAAACCTATTTTGTTAAGATCAGTTTTAAGATCAATTATTTGGCGGTTCCAACTTCCAAGGTCTATCCATGGAACCTATTCTTTATAAAATATAATAATATGCTTCTTTTCCTCTCATAGCTTTGACCTTGGATAACAATCTAACTTAAACATTCCTTAATTCAAATTCATACATATTGTAGACATGAATTTTTAAGCCATATGACTAGGCTTAATTTATAATGGTAGTCCTCCCAAATTAATATAGGCCTCCATGAGCTTAGGGCCCAAGTCTATGAAAACATAACCATGGACCCAAGGATCCAATTGTACTAAGTCCAATTAGGGCCATATCTTATTGTAATAGGGTGGTCCCTTATGTAAAACCACTAACTCCTACATAATGGAGCATGTTTAGGAGTTAACCCTAACCCAACACCCCATTTACACATTTGACAAGTTCTCATTCACTCACACCAGCACTTAAGAATTGCAAGTAATTAAAAGGTCTTGCTAATTCCAACTCTACATCAAGTTTAAGAAAGAAGAAGGAAGAAAAGCAACTACTTCTTAGTTCTCTACTTCACACTTGGATTCAAACTCTCTCAAGAAAAAMAAAAATCAAGCCACTACAAGAAAGCCCTTTTTAGAGAAGCAGTCTTCACAATCAATTAAGTGCACAGTCCAAAGTGAAGAAATATATATCAATTCTTTAAAAGCACTAAAATCAAGAAAATCTACATCAACACTTTGAGAAGCACAATAAACACACCAACAACCCTTGTCTTCATCGAATTCGACTATTAATCGAAAGTTACGTATGCCATTGAACAAAATCAAAAGGAGCTGAAATCCTTTATATGTTCTTTATTACAAATTCAATTGTATTTTTTCTTCATACTTTGTGTTAATCAAATATGCAAAATTTTTGTAACAAATTTCTAGCACACCCGGTGAAGCACTCTCTTCTTCTCATCTTTCAAGTTAACAATTGCAATAGTTTTCCAATGGATACCAAGAAGACTACAATTTCCTCCAACAAGTCCTATAGTGCTCCTAGTTCAAACTACAATTGTCTAGTCACACGTGCTATATTAAAAACCAAAAAGGTTTAATTAGAATCTCCAATAGAGTTTCTGGCCAAGAAAAGCACCAAAGCAGCTCTTCTGTAGAAGCAAGTGTCATTTAACCCTTCATACTCTGATTCAAGGGATAAAGAAAACTTCATCTTTGATGGTCACTTTAACACTAGATCAGTGAATCAATCTTATTCCTCTATATGCACTACAGGCTCCGATAAATTCTTTTTGGATATGAGGATGGATGGACCGCCTAGCCTGAACCTCCTCTACAAACAAAAATTGGACTCTAAGGTGCCAACAAGACCTTACAAAAGTTGTGCTTGTAGCTTCCAACTGCCAACCAAACCTTGAAAAGTTGGGCTTGTAGGTACCAACTAGACCTTGAAAATTGGTCTTGCATGTTCTAGTCATACGTTTAATGGTTTCTAATGAAGGAAGATTTGGCCCGACCTCATAAGTYACGGCACGTGGCAAAAAAGGGCAAGTAGCTCGGCACTTAAAACAACGTACCGAGGGTACAAACGCCAAAGGGACCAGCAGGCCCGAACTCCCTAGCAAGGGGCCCGAACTCCCTACTTAGCGGTCGAACTCCCTGCAAGGTGCCCGAACTCCCTACTTAGTAATCGAACTCCCTGCAGGGTGCCTGAACTCCCTGCGAGGGGCCCGAACTCCCTCTTTGACCCCGAATCACACAAAGTAGAGACCCGAACTGGTCCGTCTTATGACAGTTCGAGGCCCCCCTTATCCGAACTCAAGACTTCGCCTCACGCCCCGCTCCAGGCACTTCGCTTCCGGAGCATTGAACTAGACAAACCGCGCCGTACCTGACACCGAAGGAGTCCGTATCCAAGGGCGGCACACCTGATTGACTTGGGATTTGACGCTTGACGGCCGCATTCCAAACGGCCACCTGCCACCGTCACCTATCACCATTGCCTCCAGTTACAGAAACGGCTCCGACAAAAGGAGCAGTGACGGTTTTGCCCCAGCAGAGGCGATGACGCCCGAACTGGCAGAAGCACGGAAACACTCATTCCCGACCTGACAGAAGTCTAGGAGTGAGTGCGCAAGGTGGTTATAAAAGGCTCTCCACCCCCAAAGAGGAGGTATGCAAACTTTGCGCTATCTGGTTTATCTTGCCTTTGAAGGATTCTAACTTAAGCTTCGGAGCCTTTACACCGGGTTCTCCCCGGAACTTC